CCTTATATATTTTACACACAATATTAAAAAAGCATAAAGATTTGTTTTATGACCCAAATATTTTGCATAAAAGAAGAAAATACATACTTAACTCTTTTCGTGTTAAAACTGCATTTGCTAGACGTCAGTTCATTAACCAATCTATCTATCTGTATAATTCTGTCAACAAAACTCTTAATATTTACTGTAGAAATACCAAGGACTGCAAGTTATTAATTATAAATTGGCTGAAAACCCTGTCTTACGAAAGCACAGAAAAACTTTTATGTTTCAACACATAAGGTGAAAATAATATTCTCCAAAAAAAAAAACACATACACACACAAACACATACACACAAACACACACACACACACACACACACACAAACACAAATTTATTGTTGAATAATTTTAAAATACTTTTTTTTAGTTTTCTTTTTTTTATATAATATGTAATTATATGTTTCTAGAAACTTTTGTATAGCTATGGAAGAGCGGGAGTCTCTGACACTAGTGCCTTAAGGTGCTTAAAAGACGCTCCCTACCTTATGCAAATTGTGAAATGCTTAATGGAATAAAAGAGATTATAAAGAAAAAAGAGATTATATAGTCCTACTCCTCGCGGTATCGTGCAAAGAACGCTGGCTGCGTTTCCCCGTTGAATGGCTATACTAAGCATTTGAGCGAGAAAATAACCAGCCCTCTTATCACCAGCAGCAACGACCAGCCGCTGATGGAGCTCCTTTAGGAACCTCACCGCACGTGGACCCCACGGACCGATAGTCTCTACAATATAATTTTTAACTAATAAAACTTATAATTTAATAAATAACTTTCCAAACACCTAATGAATATGAAGTGAAATTGAGGCCGTATTGAAATTGCCTAATAAGAGAATTACCACACTACCGAAGAGTAGTGAAGTCGATCGAACAATATTTTATTAACCTCCCATCAATGAACGGATAATAACACTTTAATGGACACCGATTTATATCTCAGAACGACAATATTTAGCATACCTATGCTTTGCTTCTCAAAGTTCAATTTCAGACTTTATTGTTAACACTTTAAGTAAGGGAGTGAACTTGGTTATCGATGGAAATAAATTTGTAAATAATATAAGAGCCATATCATCGTCATATTTGAATCGCGTGCCGTGATTCGGCATATTCTATCAAAGCAACGGTGGACCACCAATGAGTCTCTTGAACTGACCGATTGAGTGTTGTATGAAAAAATAATATAAGACATCGATAAATAATAATGACTAAATTTTTTATCGGATTGGTTACGTCTCGATTTACCGTCACCGTTATAGCCTATTAAAGTCCACTGCTGAACATAGGCCTTCTCCATAGATTGACTCATAGGGGGATTTTTTTATAGGATAAGAGTAACAAACGAGCTCACAGTCCACCTGATGGTAAGTGGTTACTGTGGCCCATAGACATCTACATCTTTCTTCGATTACGAATCAAAATGCAGTTGCGTTGTCACCCGTGAGGACTAAGATGTAATGTCTCGATTCCAGTAAAAAGGGTCTCCGGTTCTCTACACTCACCATACGAAACACAGCGGTGTTAAGCTGCTATTTTACGTTGGTATTCTGTGAGAGCGTGGTCTTTCCCCAGTCGAGCAGACCCATTTGTGCTACATCTATACTGTTAATAGCTGCAGCATGGCTCTGCCACGTATAAAGGGATATTTTCCATAGTTGCCACGTTTGGCAAGCGGGTTGGCAACCACTGCGGCCCATCTCCTGATTTGTTTCCGTCTATCGCCTTCTACGACTGACACCCACGGGATGATATGGTTTAGTAGATATTTTTACAGCACAACTACACATTAACGGTACAGTCTCTATTTACTTCTAAAATAATTACAATGTCATTATATAATATCTTTCATTTAGGCTGAAATGGTTTTGGTGTATAATACCTATAATTACGAGTATGTTATGTAATTGAATTGAATCATACTGAAATTGTTACTGTTATTTGTTAAAGCATGATAATATATCTTAATTTTTAAATCTAAGTTTTAACAAAGATCGATTTTAGGATATAGGCTTCTACCATGATTACTGCAATCGCCTCGCTGGGTTGCCGTTCGCTGCATAAAAATTTGATGCTGTACTTCTTTTAACCAGAATGGGTATTTTACATCTATACATGCTAGTGGTACAACCTGCGTGAAGAACGAAGTGTGAATACTAACTGAATCCGTAAAATTTATTCAAAATCCCTGAATCCTGATGAGCTCCAATTTTAGTAGTCAGTATCAATCCACCTACCCAACCTGGTTAATAATGCCTAGTATTAAAAAAACCTTGAATCTTCTATTCCTAGAAATTCAGCAGTAGAAACAAGGTCTTCTACCGTTGTACTCTTACTACAATAATATTCAATAATTTTTCCTTTTGATTTTTTCGATAAGTGAAATGCACATCACTAGCGTTTACTAAAAAGCATTCCCAAGAGGCACAATCAACACACATTGAATACCTCTTTGTTGTGCCGAGTGATTTATTGATTGCGTCTCTGTCAACACGGCTGGCATTTTACACCAACTCTGAATACTTCATTTGATCCGGATTTTTATCGATAATAAAACCTGATCGTGAGTCACATCACTCGTTAAGTGTATTTAGTATACAAATGATTTGAACGTGCCGGTACTTCTTGAACTATAAATTAGAGTCAGTCCTAGGTTTTACAGCCATATCGTAATATTTTTGAAAAATAAAATTACTCAAAGCTTAATTTGCGAGGTATGCTAAAGATGTAGATGTTTATTTATGGGACATCTATTTTTTATTATATTTGTTGCTGATTGTTATAAAACGCATAATATCTCAACGTACTTTGTATCAATTTACAATTTATCTTTAATTGTTATTGATTATTCGAGAAAATAGATGGGTGGAGGCAGTAGAGTCCAAAGGGGAGGCATTGGCCGTTAGTTTGGACATAGCGAAACTTCGATCGGGTCTGGCACCAAATTTTACGAACGAAAATTCCAAATTCCAGCCGCCAAATTTCACGAACGCACATCGCGTTAAAATTCACGATACCGCCTTCACCATCTGGATGCTTGACGGTCCACGACTGTGCGTTTTACTAGGAGTTTTCTTCATCGTACAACTTCTCTGTGGAATTGTTTATCACCGGCGATTTTTCCGGACCGATACGACTTAGGGACCTTCAAGAAAAGATTTTACACCTTTCTTAAAGGCCGGCAACGCATCTGGAATTCCCCTGGTGTTGCGGTTGTTCATGGGCGGCTGTAGTCACTTACCATCAGGTGAGCCGCATGCTCATTTGCCCCCTCTTCTATAATATAATATTTTCTTCACTATTCGGTCTTCACTCATTTGCTCAACGTGCCCAAACCACCGAAGCACGCCCTTATCAATTTTTGTGATAAGGTCATCTTTCAAACCTGCCATATTGCGAATCTCTTCGTTTCGCTTTCGGTCGGCCATGGTAACGCCGCACATTTTACGAAGAGATCGCATCTCCACTGCATTCAATTTGCTTTTATGCTTCTTCTGGCATACCCAGGTTTCGCTGCCATATAACAAAGTCGGTACCAACACTGCGTTATGTATTGCAAGGCGTGCACTCTTCACTACGCCTTGCCTTTTGACTAACGCAGTCAGGGCACCATTGACTTTGTTCCCGGCAGCGACACGCCTGTCCACATCTAAATCACATCTTCCATCCCGGCTAAAAGCACTCCCCAAGTATACAATTTCATCTACTTGTTCTAGACATTCCTGATTTACCCATATTTCACACTTCGTTCTCTCTTCGTCCCTTTCAAATACCAGAACCTTAGTTTTATTAGCGTTCAAACGGAGACCTTTAATTTCACATTCCTCTTTCATACACGTGACTAATGCCTGCAGTTCTGCCTCTGATGGTGCAATAAGCACTGCATCATCAGCATACAGCAGACAATTTACTTTTATGTCACCCAATTTCACACCCAAACAGCTATCTTTCAGCTTTTGTAAACAGCTGTCGAGATACAGTATGAACAGCCAGGAAGACATGACACAACCCTGTTTTACGCCCGTTTGGACGCTAAACATGGGTGACAGGTCATGCCCTACCCGCACACAGGCTTTACAGTCACAGTAAAGAGACTGCACAGCCCTTAGCAATTGACCATCCACACCATACCCCGGCAACAGTTCCCACATTTTCTTCCTTACAACCTTATCAAATGCTTTCTCAAGATCCACAAAAGCACAGAAAATCTTCTGGTTAGCAGCCAGAAGCTTTTCCGTGATCATGCGGAGAGAAAACATTTGATCCGTGCATCCTCTTCCAGGTCTAAATCCGCATTGTGCCTCCCATAGAAATCTTTCCGATTTCTCTTGCATCCTACGTGTCAAAACCTTCGAGTAAACTTTACTTGCTACACTGGTCAAGCTGATCGCCCGATAGCACCCGCAGTCAAAATGTGAACCTTTACCTTTATATAAAGGCACGATGACTGCGGATCGCCAATCATCCGGGACATCCCCCGTCCGCCAGCACAAATTGCACAGCAGATGAAAGCTGTCCCAGACGCGAGGCCCACCATACTTGACCATTTCAGCAGTAACTCTGTCTAGTCCCGCAGCCTTACCACATTTCAAACTTCGAATCGCACGTTCATTCTCTTTCATACTGATGACCTCAGTGTCATCGAGGTCCGGGTGTGGCGTACCAGTCACGGCGTCATCCCCGGATCCCTCACTAAGATCATCACACGCATACATTTCTCTATAAAATTCGCTCCATCGCTGCATAAACATAAAGTAAGTTGACTTAAATTAAATTCTAACCTGTAACTGATTTAAATCTCTCTTTTTCAATTCGTAATTCAAATTATTATGATACCTAGTCAGGTCATAAATTCTGTCACATGTTTAATATAAAATAATTGAAACAAGTTTATTCATTATGTAACCATTTATATACCAAAATGAACTTAACAAAACATAGATTATTATGACACTAAAGTTTATTCAAAATGACCTCTGTGATTTTGAATACAGGCCTTCAATCTGCGCGGCCAGTCGTCTATCGCAGCACGAACGAGGTCCATGTCAATATCGGCGGCTGCCTTAATCAAGGATGTCTTGAGTGACTCCAAATGGGGATGAGGCTTTGAGCAGGCCTTTTCCTCCAAGTGTTGCCATATCTTGTAATCTAACGGATTCAAATCTGGACTGGAGGAGGGCCAGTCTTCGTGCCGGATGAAGTCGATTTCACGCGCCGCCAGCCATTCTTGTGTGCTCTTCGCTCTATGAGCTGGCGCCGAATCTTGTTGGAATACCCAGTGCCTGTTATTGAACATGGTATGATATAGCATGAGCGAGGATGGAAAATGACTTCGTTGGACACGCGGAATATGGTTGCTCGCTTCTTCACTACTGTGTGCGTACACCTTATCATTTTGTTTGTTGTAGCTCTCTTCTACGTTAAAAAGTTTTTACTGTGTGACAATACTTATGACCTGACTAGGTATTTATATCTTTGGAAAATATTTATGGTTCCTGCATAGGTTCTCCTTGAATGAATTTCTTTAATATTAGACCTCTATTATTAATGTATAAATATCACACAATCATTATATAAAACTGATATGCGTTGAAGTATATCAATAGCATTACAATTTACATTACTTTAAGAGATAAACAGGCTGTCCATAGTTTAAACAAAAAGTGGGATATTTAAACAATATCAAAAACAGAAATATTTATTAAATATTGTTTTATTTTTAAAGTATTTAATTTAACATGTTCTTATGGTTAACTGTATTTATTTTATTTTGACAGTTATAAAGCACAAACGGAATTAGTATGTTAATATTAAACGCAATGTGTTAAGTATGTAGGTATGTAAAATAAGTTTTATTAAAAATATATTGTACATTTAGGTTCATTTTAAAATTGTCTTTTTTTATTATTTTTTAAAGAGTACTTATTGCATAATATGACGGCTCCGTGGCGATTATTCGCAATTTTAAAAAAAAAACAAAGTCAACTTTAAGAAGCGTATTATGCTTGTAGGCGCAGCGTAAGAAAATCCACTACACTCATGGCCAAATACTCAAATGCTACTCAATTTTAAGACATCATTAAGTATCGTGGTGTCACAGTCACTTTGACTTAAAACGACAGAGACAGCACGAGAATTAACGGCATCTTAATATTGAGTAGTGTTTGAATATTTGGCCATAGTCACACCATTGGTATCGTAAAAGGAGACAGAAAAAAATTTCCTAAGAGATGTGATACAGACATGATATATATGATACATATGAGATAATTATACAAAGAGAAATGATACAAAATAAAAAGAGCATGCGTGAGTGTTGTGAAACACTCGGTTGGAACGAAGTTCCTTTCGTAGTATATTATTATTGATATTTCGTATTATATTATTGATTAATAAAAATACAAATTAATGAATTACTAGCTTTTATTATAATGAAGAGTCATTTAAAATAATATTTCTGTAATATAAAGATAAGAAAAAGTACGAGGAAGATGGATATTATACCATCTCGCTTCCTTATAGCCGCCAAGGCCATCTACACTACGTCAGAGGGGTCAGACGGAAAAATCTTACGTTTTTTCTCGCCTAGACCCCATCCGCCAATTTCGTACCGTCCGATAAGGAACTTCGTTTCAAAATAGAATTGCGGTTAGCAACTCTGCTGTCAAACGTACCAAATATAGCAAATATTAAGCAATGCTCCGTGGCGCAGTGGCTTAGCGATGAGTTAAAGCGCTGAGGGCCGCGGGTTCGAAACCCGCAAGGTGCAAGTATTTGTATGGATTAAAAATAATTATTCCAGGTCTGAATGTTTGTCCTTCTGCATTTTATGTTTGTAAACTGCTTTCACGATACAGGAGAAAATCCTAGTGTGAGGTTAACGTTACAAAAAAAACAATAAGAATACAATTTGATACAGAAAATAGCGTAAGAATCGGCCTCATTATCATTATACATTATTATATTAAAGCTCGTACGTATTTAGAGAAAGAAGAAAAGATAAGGTGACTTAGATGTTTAATTAGAGAAACGATAAAAATTAAATATTATATTGAATGAATAGAGACCAAACAAATAACTAAACGGACATAACGTCTTTTGATTTATAATCGTATTTTATGTTTATTCTTCGATTAACCGTTTATTTGAATATTACAAAATAAATAATATAACTGTCAATGCAAGCAAGTGCGAATGTATTAGTTTTACACGGAAATCTAAGCCAATTCTAAATAAATATCACTTTGACGGATTAGAAATCAGCCGAAAAGTAAGTGTTAGGGATTTAGGCGTAATTTTTGATCATAAAATGATACTATCCGAACACATTGATTACGTTATCAGTAAAGCCTATAAAAATCTTGGTTTTGTTCTTCGCATCTGTAAGCCATTCTCGAATATTAATACAATTAAAATGGTTTATTTTGCATATGTCAGAAGTGTTTTGGAATATGCTAGTTCAATATGGTCTCCACAGTACAATGTCTACAAAAGCCGCCTTGAGCGTATTCAAAAAATATTTGTTAATCACCTTAACTTTCGCTGTCGGAATAAAATCGATACTTACACAGACAGTTGCACTGAGCACGATCTCTTATCTCTGGAACACAGGCGCATTTTGCTTGACATGGCTTTGTTATATGATATAATAAACAGTAATATTGACTGTCCATATCTTGTCTCAAGAATCACCTTTCGTACTCCAAAATTCCGTACCCGCAATACTACATTGTTACAGACTCCCTGGCATTATTCAAACTACTGTCGAAACACTGTTCTTTCGCGGCTTGCTCGTACATATAATGAACAATTTGGACACATTGACCTCTTTGCGAAATCTAAACTTACGTTTAAAGATTACATCAAGAAAACTATTACGAAATAGAGCAGTTGAAGTTAAATTCACATACAATCATATATTCTCTCATCTATTTCTTCTATATGTATTTTTGAGGCTACTAATATAAATATAAGTACTTAAGTTATTTTATTTAATATATATTATAATTAATTATTTGTATTATGTTTATATATTTAAACATTTAATATGTATATATACATAAGTAAATATATCTTATATGTTTATATATATATATATATATATATATATTTATATATTTATATATATATATATATATATATATATATATATATATATATATATATATATATATATATATATATATATAAAGGTAATCTAATACTTTCTACCTGACTATCTCTCCTGATCTGTTAAACTTATGACCACCTTCATTACATTGAATTGCTTATAATTTTGCTTATAATTTATCTATTAGATTGTTCTTTTTCCTTTTCTTCTAACAACAATACACCTACCATCAAACAATATAAGGGAAACCTGTTATTGGCCATACTTTTAGTTTGTTACATTAATGTTAATATTTTCTATATACGCTGTTGGTTTTCTAAATAAATAAATAAATAAATAAATAAATAAATAAAATTAGTTCTATAACTATGTTTTTAAACATTTCTTTTTCTTTATTATTTTGAGGCTTTTGCCTGTCTGTACTCTTATTGATCTCTTATACAAATGAAAGTACCCGTGAGTAGATTTTTTCTCTTTTTTTCAATTTTTATAATTAATTATTCATTTTCCAACTGAGCAATAAAGTGAATAGTTTATTTTATTTATTTATTTATATGCAGAAGGCATAGAAAAGTTAAAAAAAGAGGAAAAATCTACACACGGGGAGAGAATTTTTAGTCCGAGCTCTTACCGTTTATAAGGTGCGATTTTTTTTCTATACGCTTGGCCATCTAGAGTTTCCACTTCGGGTACTTTCATTTCTAGCCAAGCCCTGCATAACCTATAAATCATATACGCTTGGCCATTTGGAGTTTCCACTTCGGGTACTTTCATTTCTAGCCAAGCCCTGCATAACCTATAAATCATATACGCTTGGCCATTTGGAGTTTCCACTTCGGGTACTTTCATTTCTAGCCAAGCCCTGCATAACCTATAAATCATATACGCTTGGCCATTTGGAGTTTCCTCTTCGGGTACTTTCCTTTCTAGCCAAGCCGTGCATAATCCTATAAATTTGAGCGAAATCGGTGATGATGAGTAGGGAATGCCCCCTTGTTAGTCCTCAAAGGTGATAAACTTTTATTTAATTTTATTGTTAATATTTATGGTAACCCTACATTTAACGGCCGCTTGTCTATAATTGCCATTATTTACTGCATTGCGTTTGTTTCTTTACTTTTTACAAGAATATATTACGCATGTCGACCTTTCAACATGTGGGGATATAAGTGTAGCGATTCTTCAATAATATGTCTAATTTCATAATCGGTATACGTAATTATCTTCAATGAACGTCTCTTTTGATATATAGGGTTTTCATTTTCATTTTTCTTTGATAAAAGGTAAGTACGAGTATACCTCTATTTAAAAAAAAAAACTTTAATATGAAATAGTTTATAGCAATTTAGACGAATATAAAGTATTCTAAAGGAAACAATTTAGAATTTTTATTTAAATATGAGTTAGATTAATATAAATATAAATAGTATGACTTAAAATACAACGTTCAATTAAAAAAAAATCGAATGAGATGTTTTACTGCTAGTTGTTGTAGAGGAGAATCCGCTGCTTTGGTCATGTGCGTGATGATGGACTTCAAGTTTCCAAATTGATTTAATTACCGTTACTCGAACGTTACACTGCTGAACATAGGCCTCACATATACACTGCTTTATAGAGGGGGTATTTGCCATAGTTGCCACATTTGGCAAGCGGGTTGGCAATTTTTTTAGTCGTTATTTACAAGACGCTGCCGCCCATCTCCTGATTTGTTTTCCTCTGTCGTTACTCACACAACAATTCTTACATTATGGATTATTTAAGTGATTTAACGATAGCTGTAATGCTGTGCCTTTAATTGTACTGGCTATCTTATTTATACTGGCATATATTATGTCAATCGAAATACTCTACTCGAATGGGTAAGTTTGGGGAGATTACGACACAAATTCAAAACTTGAAAACTAGAGTGTACGACCAGAGCGAGTAGCCAACGATAATATATGAATAGGTGCATCCTTATGACGAAGTTTGCATAGCGGAGCTTTTTTTTATAGAATAAGGGTGACAAACGAGCACACAGTCCACCTGATGGTAAATGGCTCCTGTGACTATGACATCATTTATGCTCGATTACGAATCAAAATTCAGATGCGTTATCACCCGTAAGAACTGAGATGGAATGCCTCGTTTCCAGTAAAAAGGGTCTCCGGTTCTCTACACCCACCATACGGAACACAGCAACGTTAAGCTGCTATTTTACGCTGGTATTCTGTGAGAGCTGACCCATTCTTGCTGCAACTATACCAGAAATATAACTGCAGCCCGGCTCTACCATGTATAAAATTGAATAAGTAATTGAGCTATGGAAAGGGCTGCGCTCGGAATTTTTCTGCATGAGAGAAGATGTACGCAGTAAAACCAGAATGACAAACATAGCTCAACGGCTGATCTGTTAAATGTTTTCAACGAGATTGGAGTAATTAAGGATTTGATTTCAAATAAAGACTCTAATAGGTAACTGTAAGGTAACTGTAATAATTTAAACGTGGTAGAGCTATGCTGCAGCTATATTAGAAGTATAGTTGTAGCACGAATAGGTCGGCTCGACCGGGGAAGGACCACGCTCTCACAGAATACCAGCGTCAAATAGCAGCTTAACACTGCTGTGTTTCGTATGGTGAGTGTAGAGAACCGGAGACCCTTTTTACTGGAAAAGAGGCATTCTATCTTAGTCCTCACGGGTGACAATGTATCTGCATATTGATTCGCAAACGAGGATAAATGTAGATGTTTATGGGCCACAGCAACCACTTACCATCAGGTGGACTGTATGCTCGTTTGTCACCCTATCCTATAAAAAAAATAGGTATTTAGTGTCTAAATTCGTTATCATTTAAAATCAACCACACAATTGGATAATGAATTGGTTAAATAATAGTAGGTTTGTAGTCATTACGTATTAAAAAGTAAGCTGAAGTGGCGATAGGCTGCCCATATAAATCGATTAAACGACAACAGATGGGGACGAAAGGTTCACGAGGGACACCATTAAACTAGACAGTGGAAGCGGTCCCTACTAGATAGGATGATGCCATTGTAAGATATGCGGAAGGTGATGTGTGGCATTCCTTGAGAGAGGCCTATGTTCATCATGGACTTGTGAAAGGCCGTGATAATGATGATAATGTTATTTGTCACGCACACCAAATGCCCGCCCCGTTGCACACACGGACAGAACTGGCACTCAGTTTTTACACTTAAAATGCTACCTTCGACCTCATTCCTCGCGTTAGCTTGACACGTTATATGACACTTTGGTGCGAGCAAAAACTACATGGTACATACGTAATTAAAATTAATCTAGCGGCAAAACCTTTTAACTTTTTAGATTAACACCGATAACGTTGTACGCGTCCATATAAAATTAATTAACGGTTATTCCAGTATGTTAATAAAATAACAGACATAGTTGTTATTTAATATCATGAAACAAGGGCTCTGGAGAAATAAAAAAGCCTAAGCATGCTAAACTTTACCATCATTATTGTCATTACAGCCTTTCAAATGGACACTGCTCATAGGCCTCCAAGGTAGATTTTTTTTCTTTTTTTTTTCTTTTTAATAAACGTTACCTCCACGCTAGGATTTTCTCCTGTATCGCAGAGGCAGTTTACAAACACAAATTGCACAAGGACAAATATCCAGATCCGGAAGAATAATTTGCAGGCCATACAAATACTTTGTTCCGTGCGGGATTCGAACCCGCGGCCCCCAGCGCAGCAACTCATTCCTAAGCCACTGCGCCACGGAGCATTGCTTAATATTTGCTATATTTGGCACGTTTGACAGCGGAGTTGTTAACCGCAGTTCTTTTTTTGGAACGTAGTTCCTTATCGGACGCTACGAATTTAGCGTGGATGGGGGCTAGGCGAGAAAAAGTGTAATATTTTTCTGTCACGATCCCTTCTGACGTGGTGTAGACGGCCTTGGCGGCTATAAGGAAGCTTTATATGGCAGAAATATTACTTTAAATGACGCTTCATTTTAATAAAAGCTAGTAATTCATTAATTTGTATTTTTATTAATCAATAATATAATACGAAATATCAATAATAATATACTACGAAAGGAACTTCATCATCATCAGGAATCATCCAACCGAGTGTTTCACAACACTCACGCATGCTTTTTTTTATTTTGTATCATTTCTCTTTGTATAATTATCTCATATGTATCATATATATCATGTCTGTATCACGTCTCTTAGGTAAATTTTTTCTGTCTCCTTTTACGATACCAATGGTATGACTATGGTCAAATATTCAAACGCTACTCAATTTTAAGATGCCGTTAATTCTCGTGCTGTCTCTGTCGTTTTAAGTCAAAGTGACTGTGACACCACGATACTTAATGATGTCTTAAAATTGAGTAGCATTTGAGTATTTAGCCATGAGTGTAGTGGATTTTCTTACGCTGCGCCTACAAGCACTTTTTTTTATTATAATCGTGAGAACAAGAAAAGTAAAAATGAGCAACACCTGTCTTTCTACGTTGTATTCGATCGTAGAACTTGGTATTTTTAACGAATCCATCATACCGAGACTGAAATTTGTCAGTCCACGAATGAATCTAAATCCGGGAATGTTTGGATTTTTTGTACCTCTCGTTTATAATGCGAAAATGATTGACTCCTCATTGTTAATATTTCAAGTGCACCAAAGCGAGCAAAATCTAAATTTATTGGATAATTTTAACATGAGTGTAGGCGGTCTGGGTACAATGGCAAAGTGACATAACTGCGAATTATAATGTTTCAGTGTTTACTCTGTTACTATTATATTACCCATATGCAGATATTTTTATTACTGTTATTTTAGTAGGCTATTTTGATTGTAAGATATAATTTTATTTGTTATAATTTATATAGTAATAATAGTATAGTAGTAATAGTTATAATTTTATTGTCACAGTTCATCAAAAGTGCAAAGATGGTTATGGATTTCCAGCATACAGGGCCTTGAGCTATCAAATTTCTGCATGCCAAATGACGTCATTACTCCATCTAGTTCTGTTACCATTTCAGACCATCAAAAGTCTATTGCTGAACATAGGCCTCTTGCCCCACAGGGAAAACATTCACTAAAGTTGCCATGCTTGGCGGCTAAGTTGGCAGCCACAGTATTTTATTTTTAGGAAAACGGAGTTGCCCATTATCTGCCTTGTTACCCTCTGTCTCCTCTTACGATATCCACGGGATAATGATATGGGGTAGTGGATATTTTTACACCGTCACTTCACTGTCCCACTATTTAGTAGGAGGATGCAATACATATTGCAGTAAACAAAACAAGACTATCACTCTCGAACTTTTGTTTCTATCTATTACCAACCAATATAAGCAAATGAAAAATTTCAATTATAGATGATCTCGAAAAACTCACCAGTTAAAGACATGATCGAAATACAGAAAGTAGTTAACTTTAACCTGCTATTGACCTCAGCACATAAGATGTTGTTTAACTGTTTTAAACAAATAAATTTATAATACAATATTTTATTTTTAGAATTTCATCTGATGTATTCGTTATAACTTATAATAAAATGTTGACTTGGCGTTATGAATTGATTCAGTATAAAATATGCATATTTTTTCGTCTATAATATGAAAAAATAATGATATAAACAACACAGAAAACTTTACTATTGCTTATATTCAAATAATAAGAAAACAAAATGCATGATAAATTTTTTTAAAAGTGCCTCTTATCTTCCTCTACATCAAAATTGTGAAAATGGAAACAATACTTTGAATCAAATAATCAAAATTTACAATATTGCTCTTAACCATTTTGCCTTTAAAAGGAAAATGACAAAAGCACTGCTGCCCATTGTTTAATAGTAAAACC